ATTCCAAGGCTTTTGAACTAATGAGAAAATGGGGGTATACGTATGTACAATTTTTGGAAATTTTGGTCTGATAGTGAAATAGACACATACGCGATAAAGACTTCATTTATGAAACACTTAGTTTAGACAGATGCTTTAACGCGCGATTCATATTGCGTTATGATACTAATATTTTTTTTAAAAATTATGCTATAAATAGATACTGTGATGATATTACATGGGTGAAGCAAACCGTAAATAGAAGAATGGCTAAAGGACATGGTTTCTATTTACAACATGCAAAAGAAACTTGCTTAATGGGAAGAAAAGTATAGTATTACCCTATTATCAAGAGATGTTTTCTTTATCATGTTAACTGATTTGAGTTTAATCTACCCATCATCAACTCATTTTTTATTTTAAACAGGGAAAGGATCCACCAGGATGTAAACATTCAATTTCTTCCGACGTAATATTTTCTGAAAGACGTGGGCAAAGTCAAAAGCCAGAAGAACTATATGAAATGATCGAAGAATTAGTTCCAAATGGTATGCGTGCTTGCTTATGGTTAATTTTGAATAGTGTAGTTGACACGTGCTTATTTCTTTTTTTTATTAGGAAACTACTTGGAAATATTTGGTAGGAAAAATAACTTACGCGATTATTGGGTAACTATTGGCAATGAATTATGAATCAACGGTAGTTTACAGTGTTTGTGTATGTTGTTAGATTTATGTAATGAAGAAATTTGGTCTGCTATTGTATGTTTGTAGTAGTAGTTTACGGATAGAGGATGTGTATGTATTAATTATAACAAACAATACACTTTTTGACTATTATATGAATGTATTGGATTATGTTAAACGAGATTAATAAAGTTCTTAGAGTTAATACATTAAAAATTGACCAAACTTATATCTATCAAGTAGTCTTATTTAAACATTTAATATAACCAATTTTATTTCTTATTTATTTATATTTACGGATAAAATTTATCTAGTTATCTTTAGAATAAATGTACTAATAATTATATTAATTATATGCATAATAATAAATTCGAGATTTATTATGAGATACATGTAAAATATTCTGTAAAACTTGACGCAAAAAAGGCTATTGTGAGTTAATATTTATTTTGCTATAATTTTAGCTATAGTTTTAATATAATGCAAAATTTGATAATTTTGTGAAAAATATATAGCTTACTACTTTATTTCGCCCATGTATACATGGGTGTCTAAATTATTTTTGAAAAATCGTATTTTTGGCAAACATTTCGGCATCGCTAATTTTTTATATGAACCCCTTCGAAATAATTATATTATATGATATATTTTGATGAAAGAGTTCAAAAATTTTCGCCAATAATTTCGCAAATATGAAAATTAATTTCGACACTATATAAGATTAATTTCGGCAGCCTAAATGCCGTAATCACTTTTTTATTAAGATGGCGTTATTTCGAATATCATCACTCAAAAATAACATCGAAAAGACCATTGTGTCACAAATTAATATACTTTTTTTTGAATCAATGTAATTATACTAAATATCTTCCTATGTCAGGCGATCAGCCTTAGTTCAAAATAATGCTCAAAATAACGCACTAGTGAGTGTTATTACGCAAATAATAAGTATATTAAAGATGCTTTTAAAGTAGATTGTTTTAAAAAAATATATTGTTACTGCAAGTTAGTATTACTTATTTTTAAAACTTTAATAGTTATAAAACATGTTCTAATAGTTGCTATTACTTATAAATCAAATAAATTAATACACCGAATGTTAAAATTATTAAGATTTAATTTATTTTAACAAAATATACTGTATACCTTTTTTGAATTAAATATATTCTTTAATATTTTATAATCTTTGTTAAAAATTTTGATTTATATTTTGGTAGTTCAAAAAAAATCTTTTACGTATTAAAATTAAATTAACACTTTTACTAAAACGCACCTATGGTGGTTTACCACCTAGGTCCCTATTTCTCAAAAACGTACTAAGTAAACGGGATCGGGTACTTTAAGTAAAAATGTTTAGGACCCCAAAACCTCACGAAAACTGAGATCAGGCCTTATATTAGCTCTATATAGGCCTCCACATGGGCCTGGGCTACCCATAGGTATCAAATCCCAAGCCCTAGGGTAAGGGTAAGGTCTCGAAAAACTAAGCCATTACACAAACGGGTAGGGCTTGGGTACCCAATGTGAATTTCAGTTCATATAATTGGCTAATTTTTATCGATTTATATTGCTACTCAATATCGTGAATAATT